TCTCTAAGGCGTTTTTTTTTAGTCTCCCTTTTTATACATTCCTATGTCAGCAATTCCATTAGTGAGGTGTCATTTGAAATGTCAGAGGCCCCTGAGTGGTTATTAGGTAATATTAATGGTCATAAAACCTCTGAAGTCAAGAAACTTGTAATTTTATTTTTGTTTTTAATTTATTTTGTCAAGCCACACTAAAGGTATTTTGTACTGAACCACTATTGTGACTGCAGCATCGCATACACCGTATACGACAGTGGTGGGTGCACACATCTTATATATTATTTCCCTAAGGCGTTTTTTTTAGTCTCCCTTTTTATACTTTCCTATGTAAGCAATTCCACTAATGAGGTTTCATTTGAAAAGTCAGAGGTCCCCTGAGTGGTTATTAGGTAATATTAATGGTAATAATATTATTTCTCTAAGGTGTTTTTTTTTGTTAGTCTCCCTTTTTCTACTATTCTATGTAAGCAATTCCACTAATGAGGTGTCATTTGAACAGTCAGAGGTCCCCTGAGTTGTTATTAGGTAATATTAATGGTCATAACACATCTGAAGTCAAGAAATTTGTAATTTTATTTTTGTTTTTAATTTACCATTGTTAAGCCACACTAATGGTATTTTGTACTGAAGCACTACTGCAGCATCGCAAACACCGCATACGACAGGGGTGGTCGCACACATCTTATATATTATTTCTCTAAGGCGTTTTTTTGTTAGTCTCCCTTTTCTACTTATCTATGTAAGCAATTCCACTAATGAGGTGTCATTTGAAAAGTCAGAGGTCCCCTGAGTGGTTATTAGGTAATATTAGTGGTCATAATACTAGTTATCTAAGGTGTTTTTTTGTTAGTCTCCCTTTTTCTACTTTTCTATGTAAGCAATTCCACTAATGAGGTGTCATTTGAAAAGTCAGAGGTCTCCTGAGTGGTTATTAGGTAATATTAATGGTCATAACAACTCTGAAGTCAAGAAATTTGTAATTTTATTTTTGTTTTTTAATTTGCCATTGTTAAGCCACACTAAAGATATTTTGTACTGAAGCACTATTGTGACTGCAGCATCGCATATACCGTATACGACAGTGATGGGCGCACACATCTTATATATTTTTTCTCTAAGGCGTTTTTTTGTTAGTC